CTCAAAAACCAGCTGGCTTCTATTGTCTGTACTGGAAAGGCAGAATCTTTCTCTTATCTATGGATTTTAAATTATATAACTATATGCCTTATACTTTCTGAATACTCAAATTAGATCTGTTATTATGTGGTGTTCTATTACTTCTGTTTGTACTGGTATAAACTATAGCATACGATAAGAAATGGGGACTTAATCTGAGGCATGAAATCTCCTGTGTTACAGGGGTTTTATATTGCATTGTAGTTATCTGTTTTTCCGACTGTTTCTCAATAGACTGCAGATTTTCAAGGGCATTAGTCATATCTTGGTCATCCATTTATCTCTAGAGTCTTTTGAGTGTTTGGTTCATAATAGGTGCTTAATAAATGAGCTTTACCTGGAGGAAGAAATAGTTGAATGAATGAAAGGCAATACTAACACAAGACATTATATTTGGGGCTATCTGAGGTCCTACTCGTTTAACAAGGACTATTATGACATGACTATTACCAAATTCTCTAAGGCTTTATTAAACATTTATACTTACTAAAATTAGATGCTGCGTATCACAGGTGAAAAATCAGTGACTCAATTGAAAGTTAATAGTTCACGTAGCTTATATCACAAAAGAGTAATAATAATAATTCTCTCTTTGTTCAAAGAAAACCCCACACCACCCTCCTTCCTTCCAGCACTAGAGTGGGACTAGAGATCTGTGTATTTCATTTGACTGAGGGAGCCCTTCCTCAAAGAGAGAGTAGGAGGCTCAGAATGTCTTCAAGTCTCCTACAAGTGCTACAACATGAGCACATCAGAAAGCAGATTCCAGCCGGGAGTGGTGGCTCACGCCTGTAATCCCAGCATTTTGAGAGGCCTAGGTGGGTGGATCACAAGGTCAGGAGTTCAAGACCAGCCTGGCCAACATAGTGAAACCCCGTCTCTACTAAAAATACAAAAAATTAGCCAGGTGTGGTGGCGGGCACCTGTAATCCCAGCTGCTCAGGAGTCTGAGGCAGGAGAATCACTTGAACCTGGGAGGCAGAAGTTGCAGTGAGCCAAGATCGCACCATTGCACTCCAGCCTAGGTGACACTGCAGACTCTGTCTTAAAAAAAAAAAAAAAAAAAAGGCAAGTAAGCAGATTCCAAGTACTCCAATGCCATGCCCCTGCTGAGACAGAATATGATAACATTCAGTGTTGAGGTTTTAGTCATTCCTGAGGCTGGACCATCTTGCTAGGAACTCACACGGTAACAGGGTTTAGATAATTTCAGTTCTTAGAGCCACCTCCCTGTTTAGGACTCTCTTTCACTTCTCCTGCAATCAGGAGGATTCTGCTCTGAATCACACTTAGACTGTCCACTGTGAAAATATGAAAAGATGACAAGTTATACTATATTCAGACATAAAGATAAAAAAAAAAACCTCTTCACATAAAGGGAAAACAGCAGTATATTTCGGGAAGCTAGTGTGTTATGGTTACATATTATATTCTCATTCCTTTCCCAGCATGAGGGTTGAGGGAGGAGGGCAGAAGTAAGGGAGCATCTGTCTAAGGCCCTGCTAATGTTACAGATCAGAAAATAGTGCTTTGCTCTGCTTCAACTGTAAACATTGTGAACTGCTTTCTTTCCCCACAAGGCAACTTGGCTCTGAGATAATCATCTTAGGCATGAATTAATGGAGTACTGTCCATTCTACAGCTTCATTATAGAAAACAGGCAAATGAGATGCAGAGTGACACTCTTGGTTTTCTGTGGTTGTTTGAGCTCTCCTTAACCCCTCCCTGGAACTAGTTATTCAATCATGGCCACAGAAGAGTCCCAGATGTTTGCAGAGTAAATGTGATGCTTGGCTTTGACTCCTGGAAGCAATAGAGGGTGGAGTAGGGATGAATTACAAAGAAAGACCTTATTAGTTGACACTAAAAGTACCTATGAAAGTCTCAAGTACGTAGAGTTAACCTTTCTCCAGCCCTTCCATTCAATTCCTGAGTAAGCAAATTTGGATTAACTACTCCAACCCCTTACTTAGAAACTGTTTCCATCACAGTTATCTCCTCTCTGACATCTTTTTTCTTAATGTTCATTTTAAACTTATTTTTCCTGGATAAATATTATGTGTGTGCAGGCATGTGTGTCTATATTTATGTGAACAAATATGAAGTTGGAAAAAAAGATACCAAGACCTTGTGAATTTTGGCCTCTCTTTTCATATGTCTCTAGGCCTTTTCTACTCCCTAAGGGAAAGCTTAAGCATGACAGGTCTTTCCTTTCTCTCTCTCTCTCTCTCTCTCTCTCTCTCTCTCTCTCTCTGTGTGTGTGTGTGTGTGTGTCAGTTTTTATATGGTGCTAAAGAAATGCGAAGAAAGAGATATTAGGAAGGGAAGATCATTTGTTCCCAATTAACTCTGCTCATCTGTGTGGCTGAGGTGGATGATCTAACACAATCATATTTATTGTTGCATGCATTATTCCCCTCTGCTCCACTAGGATATATCAATGTAATAAGCCTTTCAATTACCTTAGCTATATCCAAACAAGCGAGGAAACAAAAATTAAATGATATTTTGCTGTTGTAGAGAAACTCAGACCATTCTTGCTGGAGATTCATCAAGTGACTACCTTTGTAAATCTGGACCTGACCCAAGGAAGCCTGGTGTGTTTATCTGGGATCTCCTACTCTCTGTGCACTACCCTCTCTGTCCCTTTCCCCTCATTCTCAATCAAGACAGCCTTGAGCAAATCTAATTTCTGGGATGATCATATCTACAGCTCAAGTATTGACTAAACACTGCTAAGAGTATCGCATGGCATAATTGAGACCAAATGCTTGCCACAAACAGCTCCATGTCATCTCCTACATGAATGGATTACTCTAAATATCAGTTCATGCACTGGCTTCATTGAGATGACCTAGGAAACTTGTTACAACTTAGATTCCTAAGTTGTATTGCCCAATATTTTGCCTCAGTCTGTTTGATAGTCAGCTAAGTTTGCCAGGTTTGGGAACTCTAGTTTTAGACCTCAAATTAGAAGGCACTCTGGGAAGAGCCCTTGAGCACTCATTTAGTGAAGTCACTTTCACCTTGTCCGGCTTACTATGGTGCCGTCTGCCTAATTTTCAAGGATAGGAATTGTGCTACTTTGTTATATCTAAGTGGAATGAAAATAGGAACCCCAATAGCATTCTGTTGAGTCACTCCCACAAAATGATCCTCTGAGACTCATTTTGCAGATGCACTGAGATCCAAAGGTAGCTGTATAAAGGGATTGTGGGCATATGGCCATCAGATACACCAATGTGCACACATATATGCCTACACATGTACACATACTATCATTGCATTGTCTCTGAGAGTCATAGACAAAGTTGGCCAAGCCCTTGGCCAGGGCTATTATGAATGATTGCTCAGACTATATGCTGAACAGTTCTGGGCACCATTTTCATAGACTGCAAGGTGAATAGTCCTCCAGCAGTTGTGCAATATGGTGGGTCTTGGAAAAATTTAGTCATTATTTTGAAAACAGGAAGGAGCCCACCACTGAGGAAGCAAACACAATGTTTGTGGTGAAATTTCAACAAGATTATCTTCTTGTTATGTAGTTAGGTCTCAAGCTCTGCTCTCAGCACATGCACACGCATATGCACACACTCTACTTATTGGATTTTTTCCTTTTCTCTAATCCAGGATGATATGCAAAAGTTTTCCTTCCATACCTCTACACCACAGATGGATTGGGAAATGTCACAACAAATTAGAAGTGAAGAGTTAAGTCATGGCAAGTGACTCCTCAACTCAAGGCTCTTTCAACATTCTGAAACTGTTTAATGTCAATCTTGACTGTCTTTGTCTCCAGGGCCCTTTTCTTTATTCTTTTGCTTTTACTTTTTTTTTTCTTTCTTTCTTTCTTTCTTTTTTTTTTTTTTTTTTTTTTTTTTTTTGAGACAGAGTTTTCACTCTCGTTGCCCAGGCAGGAGTGCAATAGCGCGATATCAACTCACTGCAACCTCCGCTGCCGGGTTCAAGCAGTCCTCCAGACTCAGTCTCCTGAGTAGCTGGAATTACAAGCATGTGCCACCATGGCTGGCTAATGTTTGTGTATTTAGTAGAGACAGGGTTTCACCACGTTGGGCAGGCTGTTCTTGAACTCCTGACCTCAGCTGATCCTCCCGCCTCGGCCTCCCAAAGTGCTGGGATTACAGGCGTCAGCCACCGCGCCCGGCCCCAGGGCCCTTTTCTTAAAACCAAGTCCCATGCAATAAAGCACGTTTATTTCATGCAACACAGCTTAGTTAATGTTTATAGTTCCAAATACTCCGGTTTACTAGGTACAACTCAATCGGGAGTGCCTAGTATAAAGGAACATGCATAGCACAGCAACAGAGAATGTTCATCACCAAACACAAGGAAGTAAAGGAGATGCAAAGCTATGGTAGCTAGAGGAGGATTAGCTTTCCTGATTTCAGTGCGAGAAAAGCCACTTATCTCTACAGTCCACTAGTTTGGAAAGGCATTTGCCCTTGGCTGTGAGATGATGTTACATTCAAAGTAAGTCATATTAATTTCCAGGCTTGTCCAGGATCAGGGGCTGGAGGCTTCCCTCAATTGTAGTCCTTTCCTTAAAACCAGTTCTAAGCTTTTGCATTTATTTTATTAAGTGATTGGATAGTCCTGAAATATGAATTTCCTCCAATCTCTTCCACTTTGCAAACTCCAGAACCGTTTGACCAATAAGTTAAAATCTCCAGAGGAGGACTGACTGTGAGCTAAGGCTTCAGACATGCAAAGCGCACAACCCTGGGAAACAGCAGCATCTGGGACAGGAGGCTCCCATTACTACACATGAGGACGTCATAGGTTTTGCAAATCAAACACACACAGAAAACCAGTAGTAGCCCAGGTTGGACACACTGTATGGGTTGCACAGTTGAGTGAGGACCCAGACCAGGGAGCCACCTGTTCCTCTAGCTTGCATACATTTATTTCACACCACCTCAGGCCACTCATAGTTTGCTTACCTGCTCATTGTTGCTCTCCCACCATTCCCCATACTCCCTTTGGGGGTGAAACACTCTATTTCCGACTTGTGCTGAGCCAGTCTCCTGTCTTTGTACCTGGTAAGCATGAACAAGGACAGGAGCAAACAGAAAGCAAAAAAGACGTGATTGTGTGCTTAACTGCCAGGCTGAGGAAGGGCCGTGACTGTGGAGATGGTCGCCCTGTGTCAAAACAGGGGTTCCTGCTTCTCAATGCAATGACCAACCTTTGGTACTTATTAGATGAATGTGATGGCATATGGACAACCTCAGGGATGACGTTGTTACTTTTTGGTTAAACCACATGTAACACATTCTTTCACAGTGACTATTAAACTGTGAATGTGTCACATTTAATAGTGAATGGTAAAAGGTGTGCAATTTCTAGCATCTTTGAAAAAGATGAATATCAATCAATACATTAGAATATCAATCAATACATTAGAATCTATTCAGTGCTTACCATGTGCCAGACATTATCCTAGAACTTTACCTAAATTGTATCCTGGCAACAGCCCTGGTCCAGAGGCTTTGTTATTTTCATTTTACTGATGAAGAAGCCTAAGATTATAGAGGTTAAGTAAATGAATCAAAGATTAGTTAATTAAGTAAGTGGTTGGGCTGGATTTTGAATACAGGGAATCTAAGTTTAGAGCCCACACTTTAGCCATTATAATGTGTTGCCTTCCATTATCAAGTTTTTAAGCTAATTATTATCTTGAACAAACCCTCATTGAGTGATACCGTTCTGGATGTTGTTAGACACTGGTAATAACAGAGAAGACACGTTCTTTGGATATGAAAAGTTTCTATAACCATTAAGCAGAAGTTTGACTGTCAGTATTGGGATGCCTCCATTATTAGAGTGTGGCTCAGACAGCTTTTGTATTATAACTGGCAATTCACCGCCCTTTGAAGATACCAGATAGTTCATCTAAAATGAGTTATGAGATTCCCAACATTACTCTTCTACATGGTGCATCAAGATGAGTTCTTGTACCTCAATGACAGTTTTTTGAACTAACATGATTTCACAGAAATAACCTCTTTTACTCATTGGTTTGAATCTGTGAGGTTGTTAAAAAAGAACTGCTATTTCCATTTGCCAGATGAGGAAGCTAGATTTACTTAACTGACTTCATGAAAGTCACAAGCCTCATCAGTAGAGAATAACCACCAGTGGAGCTTTCAGGGGTCCAACGCTCTTAAGGTTTTATCACCTTTTCACTAAGCTAGAGCCTGGTATGATACCACTTCATCCACCTTCCTGCCAATAGGCTATGATAAAGGGAATTACGATTATAAGACTTATTTACCTCAGTACAATCACATTCTTTTTAGTTTATTTTCCTGCTGTTTCAAAAGTAATATAAAATAAAACAAAATGTAACAAAGTCATCATCATTATTGATCCTGGGGCAGAGGCCTTCCCCTTAACATTTTCCCTTCTAAAATGTTTAAAGTATCTAGTATTTGAAGAAAAATGGCTTATTGTATCAAGCAAAATAAATTTAATGGATTACCTATTTAGTGGACATTAGTTGAGCATTTATTAAATCCTAGGTAATAGACTTTGCACTACAGATGTAAAGATACGTAATCTGCAGGCCCTGCCTGATAGAAGTTACATAACAGTAGGAGAAGGAAGGAAAGAAGAAATACATACACAAGTAACTTTAGATGTAGGCATAAAGAAGAGAGGAAAAGAACTTTGGGACTTTGTTAAAGGAGGTAAATCATCAGACCAAGCTAGATTTAGTAGACTTAATTTTACCAAAGAAAATACCTTAGAAATACCAATGGCCAAATGATGCTCCATGTTTCAATGCAAAGTATTTTGTGCTTATTTGTGAATTGGGTTGTTCAACCAAAATACTGCTCTACAGCTCAGATTAAAAGAATATTGATAGAATAATAAATTATTGGTGGTCATTCAGTTCCTTACTAAGGGATCCTTAACATATTTTTGAATATCTTCTGTTAGGCTAATTGTGAATTAATCATTAAATATTTCACAGATGAGTTAAGAAACCTACAGGCTTCATGCTTATAAGCTCTTCTCTCTCTTTCGCTCATGACCACACACACACTGCCAGGTGACCTCTGTTTATGAAATATGGAATGATCCTAAGCATCCTATTCTATCAAACTCTAACCTCTGTGAAGAAAAGGAATGCTTACACACTGCTGGTGGGAATGGAAATGAGTTCAGTCACAGTGGAAATCAGCTTGGCAGTTTCTCAAAGAACTTAAAACAGAACTACCATTTGACCCAGAAATCCCATTACTGGGCAAATACCTAAAGGAATATAAATCTGTCTACCATAAAGACACATCCATGTGTATATTCACTGCAGCACTATTCACTATAACAAAGTCATGGAATCAACCTAAATGCCCATCAACGGTAAACTGGATAAAGAAAATGTGGTACATATACATCATAGAATACTATGCAGTCATAAAAGGAATGAGATCATGTCCTTTACACATGAATAGCAGAGGAGGGCATTATCCTAACCAAACTAATGGAGAAACAGAAAACCAAGTACATCATGTTTTCATTTATAAATGGGAGCTTAACATTGAATATGTATGGACACAAAGGGAAAAATAGACACTGGGGCCTCCTTGAGGGTGGAGGGTGGGAGGAGAGTGAGGATCAAAAAACTACCTACTAGGTACTATACTTATTAGCTGGGTGATGAAATAACCTGCACATTATACCCCTGTGACACATGACTTACCTATAAAACAAATCTGCACATACACCCCTGAACCTAAAAGTTTAGAAAAACAATAGAAATGACAAAAAACAAAAAACCTAACTGCTTTTGGTAAAAACGTTCACTGGCATATAAAAAAGAAAATTTCAAAACAAACAATAGTAAAAAAACTCATTTTAAAAATGTGAGCAATATCTTAGACTTTTTAGAACTTTCAAGCAGTTTTAATATTCAATGCAAGCTGAAAATGGCATTAATGCAGAATGGAAAACTCATCATTGCTTTCAGATAGGACCCTTCTTGCCTGTCTGTACCTGTAATTATATTCACCAGATATTTAAATAGACCAAGTTTTTATTCATTCATTCACTTACTCATTATCCCATTTACCAGTAATTTGCTATTCAAAGTTACTAATAGCTTTAACAGTCTCAACTGTTGAGTTTCAAAACTCAACATTTTTTTTCCAGTTGAGTTTGTTTTAGAAGTATGGAATTGTCAATTAAAAATAGTTTAAGCTTTTCAGCATTTACAGTTCATGAAATATCAATTTTAAAATTTCATTTCTTTTACATAATAAATTTATATATCAGACACTAAAACACACATACACTCATACTTGCGAGGCACTGTTTTAAGTGCTTTGCAAGTATTAGCTCACTTTTCAAATGAAATGTTTAATTTACTATAGTTATATTCAAAGTTATAATAAAAAGTAATAATGACAAAATATTGAGCATGTCAGTCTGTTTGCTGTACACTACTGTAAATTATTAAAACAACTGTATAAAGCAGCTGCTATTATTCTCATTCTGAAGAGGCCGACGCTGAGGATCAGTGTCAGTAAGCCCAACATCATGTGGTTTAAGAGCAGGGAGCCCAAGGTTAAAAATCAGGTTTCTCTGATTCTAAAGCTCATGCTATTTCCATTATTTTTTCCTCTGTAAGTGACAATGTTACTATGTTTAAAAACAAAATTACAAAAGTTTATTATTTACCTTTTCTCTTCTTGTCCCCATTTTGCAAATAAGTAGCAGAGTTATCAAGCACAAGCAGTGGAGGATCTAGTGATAGGACTTTAAATTTTGTTACTTCACTTAGGTCCCTATGTCTGTACCATGCAGGTTTAGTTTACATCATTCAAAACCATTTACTGAATAGTCCATGTGCTGGGCACTGTGATAAGGAGCACATGGGTGACTATGTTACTGATACGGTCACAGTCTTGATTGAGAAGATGAAATGTAAACAGATAATTTCCAAAGAGTGTAAGAAGTTTTATTATAGAAACAAACACAAGAAGGGCTACTTAACCCATACTAGATTGGCAGAGAATACTTTAGTGAGATATGATATGTAAGACAAATCTGAAAAAATGAGTAGACATGCACCGTGAAAAGATGAGTTAGGCATAGGAGAGAAAATCAAGTGCAAACATGTAGAGAAGTTTAGCAGCATGGTATATACTGGGAAACACTGTTTAGTAATTTTTATTGTAAGAAGTATAAAATAAGAGGAGGTCAAAGGGGAAAGCAGATGGAGAAGTATATAAAAATGATGAATTTACTAGTTGATTATGAGATGTCATTGTGGAATCTTTACGCTAGACAAAACAGGATCAGAGTTGACATTTAGATAAAATGCAATGGACTTGAAGGAACAAAACTAGAGATAGAGAAATACTACTACAATTATGCATGTGAGAGATGATAAGCTAATGCTTAGGGTAGTGATAATGCAGATGAAAAATAGAGTACAGTTTCAAGACTATTTAGGAGGCAAAAATGAGTAGGATTTATTGGATGATGAGCATAATTGGGAGAAGTATAGAATGCTACCCCAGTTACTGTGTTGGATAGTGCAATTAACTGAGTTAAGAAAATACAAGAGAAGGAATGTATTTGGGGAAGGAAATAAAAAGCTTCATTTTGGAATATTTGATTTGAGATACTGGTGGGACATCCAAGTGGACATATTCAGTAGACACATGAGTATAAACATTTGGAGGTTAGAGGATTGTTATACACAGGGGAGCTCTTAGCATACCGATGGTTACAAATACAATGAGAATAGTTGAAAAGACTCAGAACAGGAAAACTGTGTAGACAGTGGAAAGAAGAGGTGAATAGCCATGCTCATTCTACCTGTCCAAAAACTTTTATAACACTGTTAATCTAAGTATTCCCTTAAAACATTTACTGAAATAAAAAATTTGCTGAGTGCCTTTTATGTGCTAGACATGGAGTTCAAGGTTCTTCAATCTTATAAACTTATAAGTCTTCTTATAAACTCTAGATTTCTAGATTTATGCTCAATACAGCTTTGACACTTTATAGGCCAGAAGCTTGGCAT